TTTCTGTTTTCATTACAGAGAAGTAGTAATAAAGCACAGGCTGTTGTTCCATGTACAATAAAACAGCTAAATAGTGCAGTGTATGATCAGGCTAATGATKTATTTAAACTACCATATGCAGACTTGCAGCAGGTATGAATCACAGATTATTTTATCAATAATTTCATTACATCATTTCACAGTTGAATACTACTAGTAGTAGAATATAAACTTTGATCACTCATTGTGGATTGGTTTGTGAAGAAAAGGGCTCATTTTTTGTTTGTCAGCATTAAGCACATTTAGTTAGTTTCTGGTAATTCATAGTATTTTAGTTATCTCAATATTATGTGGCCAGACATTTTGTGAAATCACTTTTGCATACTGTACAAAACCACAAGATTCTTGCACAACTTGTTTTCTAACCGTGAAAAGAGCTATTACGTGTACACCTTTCCTAAGTAGAATTCCTTTGAAATGTCCAAATTGAACACAAAACCTTTTCTAATGGCATATTATACTTTAGGTGACATTTATCGGTGTCATTAGAAGTGCTAATGAATCATCCACTAACGTTGTCTACATGATTAATGACATGACGGGAGACGACATAGTGGTCAAGAAATGGATTAATGAAAATGAGGTAATGTAGTAATACTTTGAATGTGTAGAGCTGGAAAAGGGCCAGTCATAGAACATGTGGTTATTTGCTTAATATAAAAATTAGGTAACACCTAATAGCGGAGCTCTAACAATAGCAATATAGAAGCTGAAAATGATTATCTAGTACTGCTATTTCAAAGGTAGATGCTCTGTTCTAAGGAATGTGAGCTACAACAGTTTTGTTGACATGCGAACAAATATTATAAAGAGTATGTTTATGAAAATTTAGTTCGTACTAATATTGACTTCGGTAGATTTTGTTCCGTTGGATGAAGTTTAAAATTATAAACTATAAAGGCCAATTGATTAAAAGTAAACTGAAAGCTTCTCGGCAAAAAGTAGTCTACATAAGCTTACATTAATCAACATTGTTTCAATAATCGATGTTTGAACCCGGACTACTCGAACTTCACATATCACAGAAAACTGTATACAAAAATATATTTTTTACCTTCATTATCAAACTTCCGATAAATTATCATTCAAAGGTCATCTTCAACAGAGCCATACTTGTTTCAAGCATAGGTTTCATCAATTTATTAAGTCATTCAAGACTGTAGATTCTTTGTTTTTAATCTCTCTCAATCTAACTGCTAGCATGGTCTTGGTTTCAAAATGTCCACACTTTTAGTCAACAAAAGAACTTCGCATAGATTCCTGCTTTTTCCCATATTGGTCCATATTATTGAAGTATTTCCAATAAAGTATCATCTCTTTCTTGTTGTCAAAATATCAAAGTAAAATCCTTTTTTCTAATATCACTTTTAAGATGGGCCTAAATGCTTTTCATCTTCGCAAATCGATTTCCCGGATGTGCGGATGCGTTGAAGTTATGACAAAATTGGCAGGAATATTTCTGTGCTGTTATTTCGCTCTTCAGTGGATTTTTTCCTTGTGATTAATTGTTCTAATATTATCAATATGTAATTTAAATGTTTAAGGAAAAAACTTCGATTTTTCAACAAATACTTGGCGCTTTGTTTCCTTTTCGAGCGGAGTTTGGGTTTCCTGTGGTGGTACACGGAATCCAGGAAGGAAGGACGGACGGAAGGACGGACGGAAGGACGGACGGAAGGACGGAAGGAAACGTGCGTACGCGCGGGAACCCTGTGTCGGTCCATGGAAAATCGACTTGATGGTATACCATTTTTTCTTAGCTATGGTGCTCCGATCCGCTCGCGCGGGAGCTCCGCTAAAATTACCAAAAACTGTAGCAAGGTGGTTATTTTGTAGCCTGTGTATAGCCTGAGTATCAGGCTCTCTCGAAGGGGTTTGGGGTGGAGCGAGAAAGGAGAGAGAGCTTGACACAATCTTCTATCGAGAGCCATTCTGCCCCTTTGCAATGCGTGATGTGTGATAATAAATTCCAGCCAATTAAAATCTGTTCCGGTTTGTTGGATTTGGTGGTTATATGTCAAAAGTTGGCTATTACATGACTCTAAGTCGTAGCTTTTATGCTGATTTTTACCAGCTCTCAAGTTGTGGACGTCTAATAATCTCTAGAGGATTGATCACTATATTCTTGAATTGTTTTACTGTGTTACACTTATTCCTACATATGGCTTAGAAGAGTTTTGGCACTGAATTTGGTAGATGAAATGTTGATTACTAAGAAAAAATGTAACAATAGAAATTTCCTCTTTTGAAGGAAACAGAGGACGAAAAGCAAAGAAGATCAGCATGTAGGTAAGTTGAAATATTAGTTAATAACTATTTCTGTAATTTTAACACTTGAACTCCTACAGCACCTCCAAGTACCATATTTTAAAAATCATTATTTTTCAAACACCACTCAGCTTTATTCTAACTTGCTTACAATGAAGTTTGAGTGTTTGAGGCAAATATAAATCAAGTATATAAATTGAAACACTAATAATCTGTGAAACAAAATTCTACATAAATATAGTGATCCTTTTTATTTCTATTGTCTAATCAACACTATTTAGTAAAAATTGGTTGTATTTGTTTCACTGATCCAGTGCATCCACTCTCATTGGCTTTATGATGATCATAAGAACTTTTTTCATACAAGTCCTAATACTAGTAGTCGATATTTTGAGCTTATTAAAATTTTATTTCCATATCATTTTTTTTTCCGCAGAGAGAATTCATATGTCAAAGTAACAGGAAATCTTAAGTCTTTCAAGGAAAACAGTCGATCAGTGATTGCATTCAATGTATCAGTGGTGATGGACTTCAATCAAATTACTCATCATTTACTGGAAGTTATTCACTCCCATCTTGTCTTACAAAAGGTGAGTTAACATTTGTCATTTGTGAACAYCTYAACAGACASACAMACAAATTCAGWTATGATACAAAAACAGACATGCTTGCAAGCTTTCCAGGATAAGACTGTAAAATCTTAGTTTGCTTGTATTTCACCTTTAATATTATTGTTTAATAATTGATATGCAGGAACCGGATGTAGATAGCAATATTGGTATGACACCAGCAAAAGGTTCCTTTCATGGAGGCATGATGACTACACCAGGGAGAAATGACAGTAGTTTTGGTGGGRGTGGTGGTAATTCCCTTGGCTTGTCAGGTGTTCAGCTGCAGGTATGGTGTTTCTATATGAGGAAAATTGACGTTCACATATAGCTTAACGAAAGGAGACTCTTAAAAAGAAGTTCCCTGCTTCCTGGCTTTGTTTTTGAACAAAAGTCATTATTTACTAAAGAATTGGCATCTGAGATTTGCCCATACAACCATTGTCAAAAATAGTAATATGGATATTTCAGTCACTGATTTAAGCACTTTTGTTGTGTTGTTAGGTCCACAATATCATTGCTGGAGCAACATCTGAAGAAGGGATGAGTTTAGGAACTATTAGACAGAGACTCAGAGCTGTTTCAGAGATGCAGATAAAGTAAGCTGATTTGTGAATGTCTTTGTWAAAGCTTGCTGAGTTTAACAATACACTTGCTAGCTTTACACTTCACGCACTCAAAAGAGAAACAACCAATTTTTGTTACTGTTGTCATGTGTTGTGTGCTATCCACTATTTTCTTCAGTGTCTTATAATTTTCTTTTTTGCTGCAGGAATGCTATAGAATTCTTGAGCAACGAAGGCCACATCTACTCAACAACAGATGATGAGCATTTCAAATCCACTGACAGTGGATAAAGGATCGTTATTAATAATACAGAACTCAAGAAGACAAAAAACAAGCTGTTTCTTCATTTTCACAAGTGTTGCTCATGTAATCCATTGTAAACCACACCACACTGGTGTGACTKCCACTGAAGTTGCAAAAAAGACAGCTATATTTCAAATCGAACTCATAAACAATGTGGTACAGTAACTGTTTGATACTAGTAGTTCAGACTGATATTTGTAACAGAGGACTTTTCGTGACATTATAAAGATTTTTATCTTTAAACAATTCTTTATATTATACATTCCTAAATASCTCTAAATCAATAACTTGTTTTATTACAAAATGGCAATACATGTCCATTATTATGTCAAGCTTATACCATAACTACAGCTATTGACAATTAATATTACAAAGAGTTTCCAATCCCACCCTCTAGTGTTGAAAGCATTTCACACAAATCCATGAACATATATTTTAGTATTTACCTTTCTTTTCTTTTATATTGTTAATTTGGGACTAAAAATTACTATTTCATGGTTTTAGTGTGGTAAGCGTGTTAGTCTATGAAAATTAAACTGAAAATGTAAATCAATTATTTCTGGTAACTTTGTATTRTGCTAAGCTTGACCACGCATAAAAAGATATAAATGTGAATTTATTTTCGTTTTTCCAATAATTTGCTTTAAATTGGCTTGGGATGCTAAACAAGATGGTTGTTGTATTTACACTTCAGGAATGGAGTGGTCCATGCTTTTCTTTACCAGGCTGGTAGACATGCTAAAATAAGGAACACATTTTCAATATATGCATTTACATACTGTATAAAGGATGGCAAGTATTCTACATATTGTTGATTAACTATTAGAGGCCCAATGGAATGCAAGAGCAAACTCCTTCTAAGATAATCAGAGAAGACCCAGAGTCTGGGATTTTTGTTAAATCAATCAGATTAATTCCAACACTAGCCTTTAATTTTCCACTGCGAAACAACAGATACTATTTCTACCTGAATTTGGCATAATGAGTTGACCCACAGTCAATCCCATTAACGTTGTACCGTTGTAAAGACAAGACGACAACAAAATTATTGGCATATATCATAGACTCATTGCTAATCCGTAAACTGCTTCAAGGAGTCTACATATATCACAATTGTATTTTTTAAAGTGCACATGACACCTTTTAGAAAAACACTTTTATCCGAAAGGTAGCATGCTGACAAGCATTTCTGTGAAGGAAGAAATTGATTTTGAAT